CGTCGGTGGATATATATATATATATATATTGTGTGAGTGTGTGCGTATGTGTGTGTGTTGTGTGTGTGTGTGTATATATATATATATATATTGTATGTGTGTGTGTGTACGTATGTGTGTGTGTGTGTGTGTACGTGTGCAAGTATGTGTATGTGTGTGTGTAGCCAAAAAATATTTATAAAGAAGAATGTTAAAATAATACAATATAATATATTTAAAACAATTCAGAGAAGAAACAAAGGGAGAAGAAGTGAATTAATTACTTGTCAAGAATGGGAAGGAGCTTAGTCTTTGAAAAATCAGTAGGCGCTTTGTCATAGCTGTCGTGAATTTGAAATGGGGATTGTGAGAGAGCCATCGGCTCACAGCTCTAACAAGCAAGGACAGTCGCAACATTAACAAAATGAAATACACTAACGTAATGGCAATCTGTTATATAATACCGTGTCAAAGTAAACAAATAACAGAATGAATATATCAAAAATTAACACACAAACAAACGAACGAACACACAGACAAACAAACGAACGAACAAACATAGAAACAAACACATAAACAAACAAACACATAAACACACAAACAAATAAACGAACGAACACACAAACGAACACACAAACAAACACACACAAACAAACCTAATTTGAATTTTTTCCATCAGTTTTTCCAAAACATGACAACAAAAAACAGCCAAACTACTATTTACTCCGGCCATTTTAGCAGCAGAAACAGTCGTAGCAGCAGCAGCAGAAGCAGCAGTTGTATCAGCAGTAGTAGTGGTAGCAGATGAGCTAGCATCAGCTGTGCTAGCAGTAGCAGCTGTGGAAACAGCTGTTAGCTGCTTAGCTATAACTAATGGTTTATTTATTGTAAGGTAACTGGTGTGGGGTTTCCGTTGGGGGAGTGATGAGAACTTGGCGGTCTTCTTTGATTGGCTGACTTTGGATAGAGTGACAGGGGCACACTTGTGGAAGATGTGCAGTTTCGAGAATTCACTTTTCAAGCGATTGATCGTCTGTCGATGGTTTTTCAAAAAATAATAATTACTATTATGATGATAATTATGATTATAATAATAATAATTATCATAATAAATATATTACAAATCTGCAATGCAATACAATACAATACAACACAATACAATACAACAACACATACAACAATACAATACAACCCGATACAATACGGCAATACAATACAGCACAACAAAACACAACACAATACAACACAACAACACAATACAATACAACAATACTACAAAATAAAATACAATACACAATACTACAAAATACAATACAATACTACAAAATACAATACAATACTACAAAATACAATACAAAAATACAATACAATACAACAGAATGCCAACTTGTTTCACAGGACACTGGTCGCCGAGAAAGAAGACGTGAACGATGATGTATGAAGATTTAAGTTCCAATCTCACAATGAAAAATGAACTGGGGGCTATTTTGTCTGAAGGCGGTCTCTCATGTGATTGGCTGTTTGGGTATGTGAGGGATCAATTGATTGGTTGAATGTAATTGGGGTAAGTTGATTGGCTGGTTGGATGAGTGTACTATCGTTTAATTGGTTGATCTTTCATTTGAATGGATGGCTGGTCTGTAATTTTATTGGTTAAGATGCAATGGGCTAAGTAGATATATCAGATAAAATGATAGATCGTTGTGTTGCAGTATGATAGAAAATAATAAGCAAAAACACAGAACAAAACTAGAAACAAATCAAAAACCAACCCATAGAGAAATCCAATATAGACGAGTCCTTCTACCAGTACAAAACTTGTGTTCCTTTGCAAACATTGCGACAGAGCATCGCGGGCCTGTCTGCAATGCACCAGCTTGCTCCAGGACATCTGGATGTGTTTCGACAGTGGTTCGTCGTGTTCTAGCAAGACGTCAAATCGGCGAACTGTAAACCATTTCATCCAGTTTGACGTATCGATGAATGTCAGCTGCTTCCAAAACTGGATGAACTCGCTAATGCTGTTGTGGTAAAAAGTGTATTCGTGTGTGTGTGTTTGTTTGTGTGTGTATTTGTGTATGAGGTGTGTTTTTATGCTCGGCGTATTCGTGTGTGTGCGTATGTGAGTGTGTGTGTGTGTTTGTGTTTATTTGTATGTGAGGTGTGTTTTTATGTGAGGTGTGTATGTGTGTGTGTCCTTTTGTTCATATACATTTGTTCCTGGAATCAGATGAGAATTCCAATCAGATTAATCATCATCCTCTACATCATCAGTGTACCTGAAAAACAACAACAGTAGCTGCAGCAACAACAACAGCAGCAGCAGCAACAACAACAACTAACTTAGCATTGACTAAATAGGGATTGACAACAGGCCTTTCGGCACTGGAAAGGCCTGCACTTGAACTGACAAGTACCGGGACACCACTCCTCAAACCATCCGACATATTGTAGTAGGCTTCCTATAACCATACAAACATACATACATACAAACAAACAAACAAACATACAAACATACATACATACAAACAAACATAGCATACATACATACATAGGTACGTACTTAGTTACATACAAACATAGACGTAGAAACAAACACACACACACACACACACACACACACACACATATATATATATATATATATATATATATATATATATTATATATATATATAATATTTACATAAATATAACAACTAATGATAATAATAAGAAGAAAAACAAAAAATAATTACCTTAGTGTTGAACTGGTAGATGTGTGCAAGTAGTTTGTCAGTGACAGTTATCCTGTTTCAAGTGTGTATGTGTGTGTGTGTATGTGTGTGTATGTACGTTGTAAACAAACAGCCAAGCAAGCAAACAAATAACCAAACAAACGACCAGCCAACAAAAAAAAAACAAGACGAAACCAAAGCTAACGTCTTAATATACTGCACAAATCTCTTCAGAATCTTGGAAGGATATTTGAAACGATTCAAAATATTACTACTTCCTCCACCATCGCCACCCCCGCCACCAGGTTTACCACCACCACCACCAGCAGCTGCGGTAGTAGTCGCTGCAGCGGTAGTATTAGCAGCAGTGGTAGCAGCAGCAGCAGTAGTTGTGCTGTTGGATGTGGTTGGTGATAAGCTATCAAGATTGGATCTGTACAGGTCGGTGATGAATTGACTCGGGGCCTCTATAGTTACACAGGCTTTCAACTGACGTTTGTGATTTACACTGTCATGTGGTTTTAGCAGTTTTTGGGTGTAAATGATACACACATACATACAAACAAACAAAACAAACAAACATACAAACAAACTTAAATACATACACACATACATACATACTTGGTATTAGCACTGTATTCTACGTAGTAATGCACAAATATGGAACTTCTCCACGGTAAGACTAGATGCAATCCAAACTTTGTGTCATCTGTGTGGATAATAATAATAATAACAATAATACCCTCAGAAAAAAAAACCTAAAATACCATTCACGGACGTCGCCAATGACGTATTTTTTTTTTATTATAACTATTCTTTAAAAATCAGGATCCTACAGACGCAGAAACTGTAACAACATGCAAGGCAGTAAAACAAAATTAAACAAATAAATGAGAAAATAAATACAATGCTCCTAAACCAATACCAAATTTAATAGGACAAGAAAATAGCTTCAAGTAAAAACACAACCGACAATAAAAACAAAACAAAAAACTCTTTTAAAAAGTCCCCAAACACACGAGAAATATAGCGCTAGAGAGACGAACCATCGGCGTCACTGATGACGCAGACGCTGCTCAGCAAGTAGCCCTCCTTGACCCGGCAGGAGAGCAAGGTCATGACAGAGGAGGACAGGGAATACTCGATATACGAAAGCATCATCGACGCCGACAACCAGGACGATTCGTAATCGTGATCAACCTCTGTTAAACTGGCATAATTATTATAATTTTATTATTATTATTATATTTAATTATTTATTATTGTTATTTATTTATTAATATTCTTAACATATTGCCGTCTGGCGTTCTTTTAGCTACCGTGAGAATCAAACTCGTGTATTTCGTTAAATGTGTTGAAATGAATTTATTTTTGGCACATTACTGTTCAACGTGTCGGATGTACACTTCGGTTGAATTAATGGAGGTTTGGAAAAATTTTTTTCTCGGTTTAAAAAATTGATTTCTCATGTTTGTTTAACGGTGATTGCGCGGCTTACACAGACTATTCTGTCATATTCAGTCTTCGAATCCACTCATCTGATTCATGCAACTTTCTTTCTAATGAAAGCCTTCCGTTTGTTCAAACGACCTTAACCTATTTGTCATCAATTAACATCAGCTGTGTTTGTTTGTATTAGTTGAGAAAATGCATCAAATATTATGAAAAATAATAATAATAATAATAACAATAACAATGGTGTCAACAAATAATATCATGATATATACTCGAGCCCTTTGTCTCCAAATTTGTTGACATTGTCACTGCTGGTAGTTGACCTTTGACCCGCGCTCCTACACAGGTCGCGACACAACAGGCCCCTGTGTACCACGTTCCAGACCGTGTCGCCCGACTCTTTCTAGACGCGTTTGTGTGTTTTTATGTTTGTTTTGTTTTGTTTGTTTGTTTGTTTGTATGCTTGTTTGTATATATATATATATATATATATATATATATATATATATATATATATATATATATATATATATATATATATATATATATATATGTATCTAAAAATAGCCAACCAATCTGACAGAAGAGTTGATGAGAGAACCGTCCGTAACCAAAGACACAAAGTGCATGAACTCAACGTTAGGTAGGTTGCCGACGAAACGTTTGTCCAGGCCTTCAAGTGGGCTTGGTAATGATCCTACCTGAAGATGATAATGATAATAATAATAATAATGATGATGATGGAGATGATGGAGAAACCTGCACAAACGAAAGAGCCACATGATCAGATCTAAGCTGCTGCAGTGACTGCTCAAGCGACACCGAATCAGACGTCCCCATCACGCCGTCAGTAATGATAACAATACCTGTATGTTTCAGGGGTCAAAGGTCAAGATCGTTTAAAAGGCCAGGGGCCAAGGCCGTTCAGTAGTCATGAGTCGTTTGACGGTGAAACATGCTTGCCGTATGACGATGCATTGATAAAATGATTAGACTGCTTCATGTATTTTGTTTTTCTTTGTGTGTGGGTGTGTGTGTGTATGTGCGCGTGTGTATGTGTGCGTGCGTGTGTGTGTGTGTGCAAGAGCTTGTGATTACGTCATATTTACGTAGCAACAACAAATACAGCAACAACAAAAACAACAACACCAACAACTTAGCAAACCATTTGACGTATCGTGGTTTTGTAGTTTCAGCAACAGCAGGCAATGCCTAAGAATAATGGAGAAACATTTATCTGAAGATATAACATCTTTGTTGACGTTCTGTGAAGATAGGACATCATTCGAGCCCAAGGTCCAACCACATCGCTCGGTGGGGGTTTGCTCGTTCAGCGAATCAGCATCGACCTGCTTTTTGATTGGTCGGTTGATGTGCTGATTGGTGTGACGATTGTTCGATTGGTGTGTTCATTGGTTAGTTGGGTTAACTTTTGAGAGGAACAAACCTTCAAAATGAGCACACACAGATAAACATTTCAAATTTATTATTTCAGAAAAAAAAATTTTTCCACTAACGTAATCAGAACCATCATCTTTGTAATTATTATTATTATTATTATTTATATTATTATTAATAATTTGGGACTGAATAATTTTTTCGTAGGCTAGAGATAGGTTATCCTCAAATGCGTTCAAATCCTTTTTCACGTTCGCGAGTATGTTGTCGACGTTGTCTGAAGTCAGTCTGCATCCGTGCAGTAGGACCTGGGGAGGATGAAATATAGGGATGTAACTGTAAACTTCATTCACATCTCAACCCCAATTCGCTTTTAAATTTCAAACTATCTCCAAATCAAAATTGTTGAAATGTTTTTGATTGAATTAGTTAAACAAAATAACCACAGTCAGTCTTGCAAAGGGTCGTTTAACAACAGAGGCAAGCGTAAAAAAGAAGAGAGGAGAGAGAGAGAAAGAGAGAAAGAGAGAGAGAGAGAAAGAAAAAATGAGAGAGAGGATATATAGATACATCCATACGTGTATCATGATACCTGTTTCATAGGACAAGATGCAACGGAGGTGAAGATGAGTATAGATATAGTGATCTCTGGCATGAACACATCAGATGATCCAGGTGTGCAGAACTTTGAAAAAAGAAATTATTGAGAAGAATAATATAATTAATTATATTATAACCGTATATGAAAACAATACAATGAAAGATACAATACAATACAATACAATACAATACAATACAATACAATAAAATACAAGCAATACAGTACAATACAATACATACAACACAACACATACAACAAACAACGCAATACGATCTAAAATACAAAAACATAGAATACAAAATACAAGATACAAAAGTACACAAAATACAAAAAGACAATACAATACCCACCCCTTTGGCTAATGATGTCAAAACGTTACTAAGGGCTTGGTAAAGTTTCGCAAACAGAACATCAGATGGTGAATTCATAAAATCCTTCGAGAAAAAAAAATATTTAAAATAATTACTTTTGACATTTAAAATACATAAAAATTCTCTACAATCAGCTAGTAAAACTAAAAATACTCCCTCCAAAATTAATAATACAGTGTATTATAATATGACATATAAAGTATTACATTATATTAGTTATGGCGTTATTACAGAAAACTTATATAGTGTTAATTTGAAACTCATCTCAAAGCTGCTGGTATATCAAGTATATGAGTTCTACCAAATCTAAAGTTTAAATTTAAATTTGCTAATGCCAACAATTTTGTAGAATTCATACAATTTTGTATAAAATATGGTCCCCTTCCTACATTTAGTATTATAGTAGTATGTTATGGCTGAATATTGCATCAAAGATTATTAATTATTAAAAATTATAGAAAGAATTAGTAACTCTAAGGTCTTTGGGTCTTTAATTGCAAAAAGGCGGTGGGTTGTATGTACTGTGTTGTATGTTTTGCATTGTATTGTATTGTATGTAAAATTACTCAAATGTATTATGACTAGTAAGTAGAAATACTCGAAGCAGGTGAAATTCACTAACTATAGTAGCCATCGATGGATTGCAGTGTAGCATGAAGACAAATGTGTACTTGTCGGCCAGAAATGTCACCTGAGTCGTGGGGATTAGTTTCGCCAAATTTAGGGATGGGTTAATGTAGTTGTAATTTAGGTTGTCCAGGGGTAGAGCCGAGAGAACCTCGAAGTTTTCATCGTCATCTTCTGCTGGTTTCTTGAGGAAAAAATTAGCAATTCACATTATATTGTATGTTTGCTGTTGATACATCTGGAAAATGCTGAAATTAGAAAATTGTGAAAGAATATTTTAAAATACCAAATGCTGTTACATACATTTTTTTCTTTGTTCACCATAATGACTTTGTTTAAATGCCTGAAGAACCAGTTGAGCTGTTCATTTTTTGAGTAGCTGCCATTTTTCATCAAGACATAAGCTCTCCTGGCCGACAATATCTGGAAAGAACAACATGTGAAAAAAAAATTGTAGGTTTAGTTTAGGAAAATGCTTTTAATCTTTTCACATTTCATATGCTAATAATGATTTGCAAACAAATAAACTAACTCTATTATATAATATATAATATAAAAAGTGTTTTGGCCAATATATTATAACAGTTAACTTTTTAATTAAATAAAATAATTAAATTAAAAAAATAAATTCGAAAATAAAAAAGTAAAATTCTAACAAATTTAAAGACCTAAATATACATTTAAAATTCTAACCTGTTGACTTGGGTCTTCTGTGAGACTTTCTTCCTTCATGTTTGAAATTCAAAAGTGCAAAAGATTCGCAGTGACACTAACTTCAAGCTCCCTAATCAACCCAACTTAATGTTAGCCAATCCAACTTGTAGGTAGTACTGTACTTCTTTCTTTACTTTTGTTTTACTTGCTTGGCCTTGTTTTGTAGTTTCATGCAAGCATTCCTTGGATGAAGAGTTCAAAATGTGAATTTAATGCAAAGTGAAGTTTAAAAATTAAGTAAAAATGGCGTAAAAGTCAGTGGAAAGTTTAATTTACTTACAGTTTTGAAAAATCGTTAGAGAAAGTTAAATGCCGAGAAAATTTTTTTTGATGTGAAATGGTTAAAAGTAAATATTTACGAGTCTGTTTTTATTAAATTCGGTTTTATCGGTATTACATAAAAAACCGACAAAAAGCAACCGACAAGTTTTTATAAGGTTTCTTCGAATTTATGAATATAAATATTATTTTATTATAATTTTAACATATGATATATTAAACAAAATTAGTTTTTTTAATAGTTGTTCATTAAATGACCAGTTTATTTCATTGTTTTAAAATTATTAGGCGCTGTGTGACATGAGAAAAAATTTCTACCTGGTTGTCATGGAGACATAACAACAAAAATTTAAATTATAATTATTCTTTAAAAATACAAAAAATTCAAGATGTCTTTAAATAGAGTTAGTGTAATTTTAATTTAATTAGTGTAATATTTGTTGTAAAATAATTTTTCTCTAGAAAAGTAAAGCGGATACATGGAAAGCGTCCGAACTGAAGCAGCAATTTAAAAATGTTTGTGGCTGTGTTTTTAGTTTGGTTTGTTCCTGTGGTTGTTTAATTTATAACATCTTATTTACAATTTAGATAATTTTACAATTTTTTATTTTTACCCTAGATGTCACTTCACAGAGAAAGATCGAAACAGCGAAGTAGCAAAGGTTTTAAATTTCATTACTCAAATTCAAATTTGTTCAATTTTTGGTAAGGTATTCAAATTTAAAAAATTTTTTCTATAAATCCCCAAATTTACTCGCGTACTTTCCTCTTAACTAATTGCTAAATTGACAGTGTAACTCAATAAACTAATCCATGCATCCGAAATTTCTCACATTAGAAGAAAAACCCAAAAAAGATAAAACGAACAAAGAAAATGTCAACAAAGACGATGAATTTGAAGACACTAAAAGCAAACATAAATCAAGCAGACGTCACAAATCTAAAGATAATGAAAACAACAAAGATAACATTAATGATCAGCGACAAGATGACCACAGAAAATCAGAGAGAAAGCATAGAAATGAATCAGATTCAAACAACACTAATATGGGGGATGAAGTCAGGGAAAGAAAAAGAGATAAACATAAATCTAAACACGGTAATGGTGAGGATGATGGTGAAAATAAAAGAAAAGAACGAACGAGAGAAAGAGAGAGAGAAAAGTATGACGGAGAAGAGGAAGGCAGAGTAAGTTATTCATTTATCAGTTTGGTAGTGTACATTTGTTTAATAATAATAATTTTTAGAATATCATATAAACAAATTATTGTTTATATCTTTTAGGAGAATGATAGAGAACGGAGATATAGAAGGAGGGAAGAAAGACGAAAAAAAGAGGTGTCATTTGCATTTGTCAAATACCTATGCTGTCTGTTTTACATTTAATATTATAACTATTTTTTTCTCATTCAGTCTGGTAATGGTGATGATGATAGAGATGGCGAAGAGAGAAAACATAAAAAATCGCGTCGCCATCACAGAAGCTCCAACAACAAAGAGGACGAGTCAAACAATAAGGTCGGGGTCATTTAAATAGGCAGTTTTTACTAGGTTAAGTAATTAGAGGTCAATTGAGATCGTATTAAATAATATGATAAAAATGGCTAAATGGTAACACGGTAAGATCCAACATTCCAACAACAGTTCATTCCTCAATCACGCAACCATTTCGAATGAATTTTCATATAATTTATTCTGCCTGTTTCTTTTTTTTTTTCTAACGCACAGAAAGAAGCCAACAAAGATGGTGATGACGATTACAACTACGATGATGATTTTGAAAATGATGACGATGACGACCGCAACAACAACGATGATGATGAAGACGAAGATGATGACGACGACAAACATTCAAACCTAAAACATTCAAAACCTGATGGAAAGACACCAAAGAAACCAAAGAATGATGATGATGACGACGATGTTGGTGGTGGTGGGGATCGTGTTAAAGTTAAAAAGAAAACAAATCAAGGAATTATCGAAGTTATGAGAGCTATTGAAGAGGAGAATGAGCGGCTACTTAGTGCAAGCAATGTGCGTGTGAATTATGAATTGTATAGAGTATGTGTGTATGAATTATATACAATTATATATGAATTATGAATTGTATAGAGTGTGTGTATGAATTATATACAATGTGTGGAGTGTGTGAATTATGAATTGCATAAAATGTGCGTGTGAATTATGAATTGTATACAATGCATATGTGTAAATCATGAATTTTATTGTATCATTTTTCAATCAATTATACCGTATAAGTAGTACAGTATCTTACTGGCACATTCAGATTTCTTTCATATTTATATCCAGACTCTAACTTAATCACCGTGTCTTTTTTTTAAAAAGTAAAGCTTATATTTTTAATTTATATTAACTTATATTCAGAGTAAAAGTTTTAAAGGATGTGAAAAAATTTTAAAAATTCGACTAAGGCTCAGAGAAACAACGCGAACTTCACTAACCCAAAGAACAAGGACGGGCTGTTACAGGAGATCACCCTACCTAATTTCTTCATCAACTTCTCCAGGGAATCCCAACAGCAGGGAAGCTTGTCGTCAGTTAAGTTGGCCAAAAAGAGGGCGTCTGACCTTCAGAAACTTGTTGAACTAGATGTCAAGGTCATTGACCTATTTACCCTGCAGCCGGCCACTGAGTATGAGCTGTTTATTAGGCAGTTTGGCAATTCTAATACTACCCAGGTGAATGATACCATCATCATCATCCTTTTTGCCATCATCATCATCATCTTTGTCATCATCATCGTCGTCGTATCGTATTGCGGTGCGATGATGTTGTATGTTGTTGTTATTATTGTTGTTTGTTGTTGTTATTATTGTTATTATAATTTATTATTATTATTAATATTATTATTATGATTTACCATAGACATACGTGCAGACGGGAGATGATGATGTGGAGAGAGAGATACAGACGGAGACCATTGAAATGCGAGATAAGAATACCCAACATCCGCAGAAGATATTCCATTCGAGATCTAATCCAAGTAAGATAATCGAGTAACTTCAGTTATGTGGAGTAATTTAATTAGGAGTATGCATTCATTTTGTAAAGTAACAATGATTTTATATAGCAATTATAAAGTTGCGGACGATTGCTGCAATTGTGCTTGTGGACTAAAAGAAAGTCCAGCGCTATATAAATGTCGTTTTCTTACACACACATACACACACACACACAAACACACACGCATCAGATAATCTCTACAATATCAACAACAATAATGAAGAAGACGGTATCAATTGTAATAGTATCATTAATGATGAGGTCGCCTGTTTCACTGATACTATATCATTAGGAAAGTTTCTAGCCAGAGCTGTTCCGGTAATACGAATTATTATTATTATTAGTTATTTATTATTATTCTTTTTATTAATATTTATTATTCTTATCATTATCGAGGGCGTGATAATAAAGCGTGACATAGCGCCGTTTCTAACCGAGCTAAGTCTCTACCCATGTTTGAATATTTTAAAATAAATTATGTTAATGGGTAATTTAAATATTCATGAAACGAAGGAAAAAAAATCTCAGGTTATGATGGTCTTTCTAGAAGAATCAATGCTTGATAACTTTGTGAACGAGATATGCATTAATAAGAGTAAGAATGGAGATCAAACCGAAGTCATACCGATCAGTGCGACTTCAATTAGTTTAAATGTGCCGGAACTGATTAAAAGTGATTTTTTTTGTGTTATCTGAACTGTAATTCGTTTGTTTGCTCGTTCGTTTTCATTTGTTTGTTCGTTCGTTCGTTCTCATTTGTTTGTTTGTTTGTTCATTCAATCATTTATGTATTTATTAATTCATTTAATTAAAGATCGTCCAATCATAAGCAGTTCTTTCTCAACGTCCTCTCCTAATTGGCTGGCAACCGTTCATGCCCCGCCTACCGACCTTGAATCTGTTCGTTAATTGGCTACTATATTTACATTTGTCACTTTTACAACTTTATCCACTCTAAATGATTCCCAGTATTATCAGATTAATATATAACAAATAATATATTTTTTATTTAATTTAATTATTTTAAAATTATTTTATTATTCAAAACGCTGAAAATAATTTTAGGACGTAGACTGGATGGTTCGTGGAGTTATATTATTGTGGGAGGTTTCGAATCATTCTTCACCGCATAAGTACGAAATTATGGAGATATTCTTAAATATTTTATTTTACTCAAAATTATGGTAAAATATTATAAACATAAACAACATAAACATTAAACAACAACTATTTAAAAACATAAACAACATAAACATTAAACAACAACTATTTAAAAACATAAACAACATCCCGATCATCACGCACACACTTTCGTCAACAACATCAAAAACGAACA